ATATATATATATATATATATATATATATATATATATATATATATATATATATATATATATATATATATATATATATAGTTATAGTTAAATTGACATATGAATTTTTAATAAAAAACCAATTTAGTATAATAACTACTCCCATATATATACACACACACACTACTACAACTATATTAGGAAGAAATTACTCTCCAATTTAAATTGGTAGTTTTTTATTTTTTTTGTTATTTTTGTTTTTTATTGTAAAATAATTTTAAAACTCCAATTTGAATGAGTAGAATATTTTTTTGTATTTTTCGTTTTTTATTGATAATTAAGATATCTATATTTATTAATTCAAGTAGTGTAACCAATTAATTCAAAATTTAAAATTCAATAAAAAGTTAGTTAGAAAAGTAGTTTATTTTGTCTTAAAAATGCCACTTGGCTTTTTGTGACTAAGACACTTGTCTTAATGTAGTGGTTTTGCTTCTCCTATTCTATATAGATAGATGGTGAGCCCAGGCAAAACATCTGTGTCAATGTCTTGTATGTTCATCCCACAAGGCAACTCCCAATCAAATGCATAAAGAAGATTGGAAAGTACAAGCTCCACAGTTGCAACACCAAGTGCAATACCTGGGCAACCTCTCCTCCCTGCTCCAAATGGAAGCAACTCAAAGTCTTGACCCTTAAAATCAATATTATTATTCAAAAATCTCTCGGGTATAAATTCTTCTGGATTTTCCCAGTATTCAGGATCCCTCGCAATAGCCCAAGAATTCACATGAATAATAGTTTTTGGTTGAATTTCATAACCTTCTAGTATGGACTTGTGCATTGTTTCTCTTGGAACCAGGAGTGGAACTGGTGGATACAATCTAAATGTCTCCTTTACTACTGCTTTGAGATAAGGTAGGTTTTGGATATCATCTTCATTCACCGTGCCTTTCTTACTCCCAACTAATTTTCTAATTTCTGTTTGAACTTCTTTCATGGCTTTTGGAATCTTTATCAAGGCTGTCATTCCCCAAACTATTGCAGCTGCCCCGGTGTCTGTTCCACCAACTAGTATATTCTACAAAAGAAATTGGGAGGGAAAAACAAAAGCAGATATTGTTAAATCATATATATATATTTAGTGGCGTACGCAGAAATTTTCGTAAGCAGTGTTGATATTCGAAGAAGTGAACAAATGAATAAATTACTGTAACGACAAATGGTGTCATTTTTTATATTTGTACCAAATATTTTAATTTTATTTATTACTTATACATATAGAGTACAAAAATAATTCGACAAAGCGGTGTCACGTGATACCGCTTCAAGCAAGATGGCTACGCCCCTGCATGTATTGTTTTTAGTCATAATTATTCTTGTTTCATTTTATATGATACTCTTTTTTATTCTTTTAAAAATAGAATAAGACTTTTCTATAGTAGGAAGCTCAATAACTTTAAAGTAGGATTTTGGCCTCTTGGGATTGAGATGTTGTTCAATAAGTTCTTCATAAAACTCATCTAACTCCTTAAAATTCTTCTCAAGTCTAGTTATACTTCCAGAAAGTTTATCTAACCAGCCTAAGAAAGGAAAATAATCAGACACAAAGAAGCCAGCCATCATTTCTTGAGTCACAGCTAAAACTTCATCAAATCTCCTCCTTTCATGTGCTTCTTCATCATACCTAATACCAAAAGCAACTCTACAAATAATTGTACTAGTTAGTGAAATCACTATATTGTTCAAATTTGTTATTTTTGAAGCTGTAGCTTTTTCAGATATCTTGTTGATCATTCTAAAGACTTCATCTTTGCGAATCGGACTAAAAGATTGCACTTTCTTGAGACTAAACAAACGAACAACACAAATTTTTCTCATTTCCCTCCAATAGTCATTTTAAGGTGCAAAGCCAATATCAAGACCATTGTAAGACAACTTTTGCTGCCCAAGAATAGGAGATCTACTACAAAATGTTAAATCTTGTATTTTTGTTACCTCTTTTGCAAGTTTTGCTGAAGAAACTACTATAACTTTAGCTGAACCAAGTTTTAATGAGAAGATTTTCCATATTTCTTGGAAAGTTTCCAAAAATAAAGATGAGGGGTTAAACTATCAAATTGATGCAAATTTCCAATTAAAGGCAACCCTAAGGGACCTGGTGGCACAACATTTTTTCCATTCTTGGCTGGTAGAAGTAGGAAACTTAGGACAATTGGAAGGGTTACTAATAAGAACAGAAAGAGCATCATATTTGAGTTTTCTAGTAAAGTTGTAAAGTATACATGTCAGATGATTTCAATATATAGATCTTTGTTAAACTGTTCCTTTTCCCTTTTTTAATTGTATGATTACTATTTAAGGATGAATCAGTCGGCTGGACGGCAGGAATAACTATATAATTTATATATGCAATGACATTACAATTCTGTTTTTTTCACACTTGATTTTCCACTTGACTAGGATGTCTTAGATAGTCAAAATGGGAATTCGTGATTTTAATCCTTAAATACTGATAGATTCTAATTTTAATCCTTGTGATGTTCAGTAGAGTGCTTGATTAAAGCCATCTGTTCACCTTAGGTTTTAATAGCTTAGATTGCTTCTTATCTTTTCACTTTCATGCTCACTGGTTATCCATTGTTACCCACTTAGCAAAGCTCATTTTCTCTCACTAAACAAATTTCTTGACTGTTAAATAAACCCGAATGGCGAAGGCAGTTGAAGTTAAAAACTGAATTAGGGTCACTATCATCTCCATCGAATTCTTGTAATTCTTTTACAGAAATTTCGTCTTCAATTAGAAGTGGCTGTTATCGGTAGTCACTCAAGAAGCGTTCTAACAGTGAGGGAAAGAGAATGCGTGTCACGATCCAATTCCTACTATAAACCGTGATGGCGTCGTTAGGCAAGCCAACAGTGAACTATCAACTTAATTATTTGTATACGGTCGAGATCGTATGCTTACGATCTGTAGGCTCGAGAGATCGCCCAAAGCCCGAGTTCAGGTGAGATCAAGTTCAAGTTCGAGGGACCAGACCCAAGGTCGAGGACAGAGCACGATGCATACCGAGGCCAAGTATGCTCGACCCCGAAATAGTACCGTTATGGATTTGTAACAGATTGAGCTAGATTCCTGCCACGTCCCCTAGATCATGGCGCAAATCCCAGAATAGGATTGTACGATTCCGTACTAGGCGGTTAGACAGCTGTATCAAGAATATTGCTTACTGTAAATAGAAATATACCTTATTTAGGGTTCCCCTATTATATAAAGGGGACCCCAATCATTTGTAACATCATCTGATCATTGGCAAGAATATACTATCCTACTTTTCTCTCTTACTGTTCATCAGAATTGTTCTTTACTGTCCTTTACATTTATTGTTCTTACTTTATTGCTCGTAGTCCATCTCGTGGTCACTAAGCTCGAGGTCACCACTGCTGAGTAACATTGGTTTGATTTACTTATTCCTTTCATTTCTACTTCATATTTCTTGAATACTAATTGGTATTGAATTTAATCACATATCTTTAAAATCACAAATTAAATTTAATTGTTACTCGTATTTTTGAGGTAAACAGTTTGGTGCCCACCGTGGGGCTAAACATAATACTCCCTCCGTTCCAGTTTATGTGAATCTATTTCTTTTTTGGTCCGTTCCAAAAAGAATGACCCCTTTCTAAATTTGGAAATAATTTTGCTTAAACTTACAATTCTACCCTTAATGAGAAGCTTTTATAACCACACAAATACTCCAGGGTTCTTTTTGACTTGTTTAAGACCTTAAATTCCAAAAGTCTTTATTTTTTCTTAACCTCCGTGCCCAGTCAAACAGGTTCACATAAATTGGAACGGAGGGAGTAGTGATTATTTCTTTACTGATTCTCATTACACACGTTATTTTTATACTTTTTCTTGTCAAGAATTTTTGATTCTCAGGCAGAAACATGTCTAGCTCATAAAATGCACCTGTTCATGACAACGAAGGTCTTGGTGAAAACAACAATATAGGGGTCAGTGTACCACCAATAAATCCCGGGGAAGTGCCAAACATGGAACCAATTTATGATAGTTCACACACTACTCTAAACGCGAATTTAGGCACAGACCCCGGAGGGAGTGTACGCAGGGAAGCCCGGCCTGGTGGCCAAGGAACACAAGGAGTGGGTGATGGGGGAATCAGCCTCCAAGTGATATTCGAGATGCTGCAAGCTCAACAGATCGCCATTGCTCAACTTCAAAGTCAAAATAAGACTCTGAGTGTGGCTGAACATGAAAACAATCGATGTGTTGAGCCAGCCACAGAAAGGTCAAATGGAAACGACTTGGGTACTGACCCCACCATTATGAGGATGCTCGAAGAGCTCACCAAGAGGATCGAGTCCGGAGGAAAGAAGATTGAAGACAATGACAAAAAGGTGGAAATTTATAATTTCCGTGTTGACCAAATACCGGGGGCACCTCCAATTTTGAAAGGATTAGATGCCAAGAAGTTCATACAAAAATCATTCCCCCAAAGTGCGGCTCCGATGCCTATTCCTAAGAATTTTTGCATGCCCGATATACCGAAATATAACGGGACAACCAACCCAAACGAGCATCTTACTTCATACACTTGCGGGATCAAAGAAAATGACTTGAATGACGATGAGTCGAATCAGTCTTATTGAAAAAGTTTGGAGAAACATTGTCAAAAGGAGTTATGATTAGGTATCACAACTTACCTCCTAACACTATTGAATCATTTGCTATGTTAGCAGACGCCTTCGTGAAAGCGCACGTCGGGGCCATAAAGGTGGCCACGAGAAAATCAGACGTCTTCAAGATAAAACAAAGGAACGACGAGATGTTGAGGGAGTTCGTGTCCAGGTTCCAGATGGAACGAATGGAGTTACCACCGGTCTTGGATGACTGGGCAGTGCAAGCTTTTATGCAGGGTTTGAATGAAAGGAGCTCGAATGCATCTCGACAATTAAAGCAGAACCTGATCAAGTATCCAGCTGTGACATGGTCAGATGTGCACAGCCGTTATCAATCAAAAATCAGGGTCGAGGACGACCAATTGGGAGCCCCCTCGGGTTCCGTTCATCCTAACAGATTCACAGCCAAGCCCCCGAGGGATACGAACAGGGAATCAAAATCAAACAAAGAGCGGTATCAGTCGTCGATCGGAGGAACAACGGTTCAGGTCGAAACACCCCCAGAAATGATTGGAGAAACAATCGAGGTCAAAGTTCTCAAGGGCTCATGAGTAGGAACGGGTTTGATAAACACACCGATCCCGCGGAGGCACCTCGATTGTCAGAGTATAATTTTAGTGTAGACGCATCAGGGATCGTTTAAGCTATTGGAAAAATCAAAGATACCAGGTGGTCTAGGGAAATCCAAACCGATCCTTTAAGAGGAATCCAAATTTAATGTGTTAGTATCATAGCACGCATGGTCACAGAACAGAAGATTGTAGGCAGCTAAGGGAAGAAGTGGCTCGGTTGTTCAACGAGGGTCACTTTCGAGAATTCCTCAGTGATCGAGCCAAAAACCATTTCAGGGAGAGAGATTCAATAAAAAATGAACAAAGAACCACAACATGTAATCCACATGATCGTTGGCGGCGCCGATATCCCGCAGAGACCTGTGTTCGAACGCACCAAGGTGTCGATCACAAGAGAAAAACGGACTCGGAACTATGTGCCCGAGGACGCCTTATCATTCTGTGACGAGGAAGCAGAAGACATATCTCAGCCTTACAACGACGCCCTGGTAATCTCTATCCTTTTAAATAAAATTCAAGTTAAATGTGTTTTAGTGGATCCAGGTAGTTCAGCGAACATAACCAGATCGAGGGTCGTGGAACAACTCGGCCTACAAGATCAGATTGTACCTGCATCCCGGGTCCTAAATGGCTTCAACATGGCAAGCGAAACAACAAAGGGGGAGATTATCTTGCCAGTAAATGTAGCCGAGACCATGCAAGACACTAAATTCCATGTCATCGAAGATGACATGAGGTATAACGCACTCCTCGGGAGACCATGGATACACAACATGAGGGCAGTGCCTTCAACTCTTCACCAGAT